GCCCGACCGCCGCCGGAGCAGGTGTCGGGCGAGAGCGCCCGCGCGCGAAGGCTTGAAGGCGGCCAACTCGTCGGGCAGCAGGAGCACAGCGCCCTCCGAGTCCTGCCAGTTGGCCAATTGCGTCATTCACCGCGTGCAGATCCGCAGGGACAAAGACCCCGTGCCCTTCGTCTGGATGAAAGATAGCTCCATCAACGCGTCCGTCCAGTACGACTGCCGCATGAACGTGTACATCGTCTACAAGTGGCAGATCTTTCCCGTCCGCTCCGTAAACCACGTGCCCGACTGGACGCGTCCTCTGCATATTCAGCTGCAGGCGAATCTGCCCCTCTTACGCATCCCCAAGTTCACTCTGCAGCAGGGAGTGTATGTGTTTAATTTCAGCATGACCATCAACAAACCGGATGGAAAAGTCTTATCCGCGACAGACGCCGTGTACGTCCAGGTTAGCGGACACCCGCTGAAGGCAGTCCTTCTCGGAGGCGCTGATGTCACAGTGAATTTCACAGATGAGCTGATTCTGGATGGAAGCAAGTCTTCTGACCCAGATGCAGACAGGCCCTTAGAGGGGCTCGTTTTTTCTTGGTACTGTACTACAAATCTAAGCAACTACCATTTAGATGAAATTACAGTGTTTAGTAAGGATGTCTGTCACCCAGAGCAGACTAGTCTGAATTGGCTGCAGGCTTCCAGCCCCAAACTGACACTGGCCCCAGAAACACTTAAAGGGGACAGGGTATATTATTTCAGAATGATGGTAAAGAAGGGTTCCAAGTCAGCATTTTCTGATAAAAGGGTGCGAGTGCTCCCGGGACCACTGCCTACAGCACACATCTCCTGCACGGAAAACTGCGGCCAGAGTTTAGTCGTATCAGATCGATTCTCTTTGTTCCTTAACTGCAAAGACTGTGTCAGCAGGGACTTCTACAACTGGTCGATTTTGTCCTCAGCAGGTGATGAGGTGTTATTTGACTGGACGCGGCAAACTGTAACGGGGAGGAATAGTGCTTATTTGTTGGTAAAAGCTTTTGCCTTTTCACATTTCTCTGAAGCTCGGTTTTGGGTTTCTGTCTCTCTGACAAGTTGGAAGGGCATGACCATGGTGTTTAGATATGGCTTCATCATCAACCATGGGCCTCAAGTTGGGAAATGCCAAGTTAATCCAGCTAGAGGATTTGCAGTTGTTACTCAATTTGTTGTCCAGTGTAGTAATTTCAAGGATAAAGACATTCCCCTTACATATAAAGTCATTGTTTCCGATGTGGAGAGTGTTGGAGAAATCAGTTCAGTGGAAGAGAACACCATGGGGACCACCCTGTATCTGGGGACAGGGTCCACGGCACCTCCTTCCCTTCTCCCTGCTGGTGTGCCAGCGAATCATTATGCCTTGAAGTTCTATGCCCAGGTTTATGACTCCCTAGGAGCTTTTTCTCAGGTGACCTTTTATGCCACCGTACAGGCTCCTACTGACAAAAACCCTTCAAAGACTGTGTTGGATCAGTTAGTCCATCTCACCACAGGACCCACTTCATTGCTGTCCACTTTGCTTCAAAAGCAGGACATGTTACCTGCAGGTTACTTAATATATGTAGTGGCTTCTGTCTTGAATAGCATGAAAACTGAACCAACACTCCAAAGTGACAAAGTCAATCTCCAGGAAGAACTTGTCAAACAGTCTTTCAAGCTTCCTGTAAACACTTTGGATGAAATTGGCCAGGTAGTGATGATCATCACCAAATTAACTCAGAAAGGCTCTGAATTCACTGAACTGGCTCAGCAGAAAGTCCTAGAGAAGCTATGGCAAGCAAACCAGGCCCTGCAGGAGTATCAACGAAAAGACAAGAACTTTCGCTCTGAGCAGATAGACATCATGAGCACTGGAATCCTGATGAGCTTGTCCAATATCCTCCACCTGATCATTCAAAAGGGTCGAGTGGTCGAAGATCCTTTCAAAGTAGTAGAATCTCTGTCAGACACAATACTGGCTGACAAAGTGCCAAGCAATGAGACCACTGTGCTGAGGACTCCCAAGCTGAACATGTATGTGGAGAGAGTTGAAAAGTGGGACGTTTCCCAGGCTTTCAGAAATGAGGAATGCTGCCAAAATTGCTTCCATGCTACACTGAATGCGAGCAGGGTTCCTGGTCTTCCTGAAAAAGCTCCAGTTTCTATGATGTTTTATGAATTCACAGATTACCCCTTTCCTTGGATAAATGCTGCAGAAAACACTTCTGCAGGGGTGATTGGGTTCAGAATGACAGGGGCCACAGAAAAGGGAAAAGTGATAGAGATCACACCTGATGTAGTAGATGTGTACCTCGTCAGAAAAAACTTGACCTCTGTGAACTTTAATCTCACGGTGGGACCCAGCAAGGAGCATGAGGGGTCCTTGAAGAAAACAACAGGGGGGTTTGAATTCGAAGTGGACATCAGAAGAGTCAGGGAGGTGCTGATCCATTTTGTTACAGAAGTGACTGTGTTGTTCAAGGTGTTTGTGTACGCAGGCAGTCAGGGTGCCCCCGCTGATGTGGTTGCTGTCTACATCATGCCTCACGACGTCCCTCCAGTTGTAGACCACAGTTGGAGTGACCTGTCTGACGCAGCCTGTGCCGTTAGGGAGGCCCGCGTGGTTTGCCTGCCACCATCCGTGCTACAAATCATAGCTCAGCGCAGCCACTCACCCAAGTGTACCATATCCATGGTTCTGCAGGCACCTCATTTTGTCCTGGAGCCCAGTGACAAGCTAGTGAGAATCTCTCTCTTCAGTGTGAACTGCATGGACATGTACGGGATCCAGAGGGACTGGAAGGAGGACACCTGTGTGCTGGGTGAGAAGACCACTTGGGATACAGTGCACTGTGTCTGCAAGAACGCGGTGAGGACCAGGCGGCAGCTGGGTGCACTCAAGCTGGCCTACCATCGCCTGCACACCCACTTTGTGACAGCCAGAGTGATCGTGATTCCAAATCCTGTGGATCTACGGCTCACAGTCATCGGGAATGTCAGCCAAAACCCTGTAACCCTTTTCACTGTGCTGTTCATCATACTCCTCTACACAGTGCTGGCCTTCTGGGCCTTGCACAGGGATGAGATGGACCACTTTCTTCGGGACCATGTGATAATTCTGCCTGATAATGATCCTTATGACACCATGTGCTATCTGATCACTGTTTTTACAGGGAGTCGTTGTGGGGCTGGGACCAGGGCCAATGTCTTTGTCCAACTTAATGGAACAAAGAGTAAGAGTGATGTGCATTGTTTAAGCCATCCGCACTTTAAGGCTCTCTACCGTGGGAGCATCAACACTTTCCTCCTTACAACAAAAAGTGACTTGGGGGACATCCATTCCATCCGTGTGTGGCACAACAATGAGGGAAGAGCTCCAAGCTGGTATTTAAGTAGAATCAAAGTGGAAAATCTGTTTAACAGACAAATTTGGCTATTCATATGCCGGAAGTGGCTTTCTGTTGACACCACTTTGGAAGAAACATTTCCTGTTACCCTCCCAGATGAGCCTCTGAAAAGAAAGGACTACTTCCTGATAGATGTGACCAGGAGGCTAGGGAAGAACCACTTGTGGTTCTCTGTTTTTACTAATATTGTTTCTAAGTCGTTCAACAGGCTTCAAAGACTGTCCTGCTGCTTAGCCATGTTGCTCAGCTCCCTTGTTTGTAACATCATGTTCTTTAATCTTAACGTAAAAGAGCAATCAAAAGAGGGACGCTACATCAGATCAATGATGATAGGAATTGAAAGTGTCATAATTACAATCCCTGTTCATCTATTAATAACATTTTTCTTTACTTACTCCCAGAAGAGACCTCAAGTGAGTCTGGATGAGGTGGCTCCTCAAAAGCATCCCCTTCTGTCAGAAGAAAGTGGGTACTGGAAAGAGCGCCTGGACAAGTGGCATGCTTACGAAACTTCCAAGGGGTACACCACAGAAAAGGCAAGCACCAAGAGGACAGCGAGGGCCAGGCAAACCCCAGTCGCCAGGGTAGCCCCAACCATCAAGAAACCGACAAGCCGCATCTCAAGGGTCAAGCCTGGGCCTTCTAAGTCTTTTGTTCGAGTCACTTTTAAAGAGGAGCAGCAAAGTGTGAGTGAAGAGAGCAGCTCCTCGGACATCCACAGGACCAACACAAATGCCAGTAACAGAAACAGAGAAGACGATCAAGATGTTCCTTCTCAGCAAGAGAGTCCTCAGCACCTTAACAAGAAGCCCCAGTTTATCTTGCCTTCGTGGTGTGTCTATGTGGCATGGTTCCTGGTGTTTGCCACCTGTAGCATGTCATCATTCTTCATCATATTTTACGGGCTGACTTACGGCTATGAAAAGTCAGTGGAATGGCTCTTTGCATCTGTGTGCTCATTCTGTCAGTCAGTCTTTCTGGTGCAGCCCTGTAAGATTATACTGTTGTCGGCTGCCAAAACAAGTAAGCCAAAGTACTGCAAGAACCTTTCCTGGTCAACCAAGCATGGTTACATTGAGATCAGGCTGCGGGAGCTGATAGTGTCTCCGAAGGAGATGCAGACCTTCCACCAGCACATCCTCAACCTCCAGGGCTCAAGGATGTACCAGCCTCTCACCGAGGATGAAATCAGAATATTCAGAAGGAAGAAGAGGATCAGGAGAAGGGCCATCCTGTTCCTGAGCTATCTTCTGACCCACTTCATCTTCCTGGCCCTTCTGCTGCTCCTTATTGCCCTGCTGCGTCACACTGACAGCTTCTACTATAATCAGTTCATCCGGGATCAGTTCTCTGTGGATCTTGCTGCTGTGACAAAGCTGCAAGACATCTACAGATGGCTTGATGGTGTACTCTTGCCTTTGTTCCACAATGACCTGAACCCAACGTTTCTTATCGATAGCTCTTCTAAAATCCTTGGCCTTCCACTCCTGAGGCAAGTGAGAGCAAAAGCTGGGGAACGAGTGTGCCTGCCTTCTGAGAACTTCGTGGAGAACAGCATCTCAAAAGAGATCCATTGTCGTCCCAAGTATGGCACTGACCCAGAAGACACAAAAAACTATTCTAGCTTTTGGAATGCAGTTAGCAAGCGTGAGACAGACAATGCCGCCAATGGGTTTACTTATAAGCCCCGAGAAAAAAAATGGGTGTATTATTCCTATGGACTGTTAAATACCTATGGATCTGGAGGGTATGCATTCTATTTTTTTCCAGAACAGCAACAGTTTAATTCCACATTGAGGCTCAAAGAACTCCAAGGAGGCAAATGGCTTGATGAGAAGACATGGGCTGTGATTCTGGAACTAACCACTTTTAATCCAGACGTCAACCTGTTCTGTAGCATTTCAGTCCTATTTGAGGTCTCACAGCTGGGGGTAGTCAACTCCAGCATATCCACACACTCCTTCCCACTTGCTGACTTCAACAGGAAAACATCAGCAGAGATCTACTTGTATGTGGCCATTCTCATTTTTTTTCTAGCCTATATTGTGGATGAGGGCTACGTAATTTTGCAAGAAGGAGCCTCCTACATGAAAAGTGTTTATAATCTGCTCAACTTTGCTTTAAAATGCATATTTACCCTGCTGATCATGCTCTTTGTCAGTAAGCACTTCTTGGCCACTGGTGTGATTCAGTTCTACTTGTCCAGCCCCGAAGACTTCATTCCCTTCCATGCGGTTTCTCAAATAGACCACACCATGAGGATTATTCTGGCTTTCCTGTTATTTCTGACCATTCTGAAGACCCTCAGGTATTCGAGATTCTTCTATGATGTGCGCCTGGCTCAAAGGGCCATCCAGGCCGCCCTGCCTGGCATCTGCCACATGGCCTTTGTGGTATCTGTGTATTTCTTTGTGTACATGGCTTTTGGTTACCTGGTCTTTGGTCAGCATGAATGGCACTACAGTAACATGATTCATGCCACTCAGACGATATTTTCCTACTGCGTCTCGGCTTTTCAGGACACTGAATTTTCCAGTAACAGAGTTCTTGGGGTTCTGTTCCTGTCATCATTCATGCTGGTGATGATCTGTATCTTGATCAACTTATTTCAGGCTGTGATCCTCTCTGCTTATGAGGAGATGAAGCAGCCTGTGTATGAGGAGCCATCGGACGAGGTGGAAGCCATGACCTACCTGTGTCGCAAACTAAGAGCTGCATTTACATTTCTGATCCCTCAGTCTAAGCCCAAGGATGAGTCGGAGTTCCTCGCCACCATGTTGTATGGGCAGCCAGAGAAGAACAGCCACCGGTACCTGGGGCTGAAGACCAGAAACATCAACGGGAAGAAAATGGTCTACCTCGTTGTTTGATCAGTAACAGGTCAAGAGATAGAAGAAGTGCTTTCCAAATGCAGTCTGTGGGATTAAGGAAGGTTTAGTGGCTCAGCCACGTTTTCTACCCAGATCCTTCACAAAGTACAGCCCTACATTTGGAAGTATCCCCAGTCTGGGCCCTGCTATCAGGACCGTGAAACGTAGGAGCAGACTGCTCAAGGAGAGAAGAGGCACACAATGTGGAATGCCTGATCGATTTCTCTCTAGATGGATTCGGTGACTCCTGGTCCAGGTGAAGCCCTCATTTCTTGGGAGCCCACAGTAGTTTGGGGTAGTTATACCCACTGGTTTTGAGGACCAGATTTGAAGAAAAAAGCATGAGGCCCCGCTCTGGAACTGGCCAGGGTGAGGCAGCCTCCAGCTGCAAGACCCACAGCTGCTGCCCCCACAAAGCCCCAGACGGCTGGGCCTCCCCGGGAGTCCCCTTTGCAGACCAGGGATATGGAGCCTCCTCGTCCCCACTCCTGGGCTAGAGTTCCAGGCACCTTGTGGGGAGTTCTAGGACTTCCCCTTGAGTTAGGGAAGGGATGGGAGCCCTTCAAGTCTGAAATTTTCCATTTACTCCTTCATGTTACTGCAGTTCAAGTCAACTTTTTATATTCTGACTAAGGAGCGTGGCTTTTGTTAAAAAGGTGCATATGGGCTCATGGTGAAGTACAGCACAGTCTATATATATATATATATATATATACATACATACACACACACACATATATATAGAATATAGCAGCATGTCCATTCAGGGCTTGAGCACTTGATTATTTATGGCATATGCATTATTTAGGAATAAGCAATGGTGGTTTATTGTTTAAAAGAAACAAGGGCTAATATATGTTATATTTTTACTTAGAAACACGTTTGTTTATGTAGATGTCACTTGAAGTTTTATCAGAATTAAATGCATGGTTTCTTCTGAGACTTGCAGTGATTTCTACATGAGGGGCAAATATACCTGTGGTGCCAGGAGCAGTGCTGAATACCTGAGATCCCAGCCACTCAGGAGGCTGAGGCAGGAGGATCTCAAGTTGCAGGCCAGGTTTGGCAATTTAATAAGACCCTGTCTCAAAATAAACATTAAAGGGCTGAGGTTGTAGCCCAGTGATAGAGCATCCCTGGTTCAATCTCACTACTAAAGGAAACACACACACACACACACACACACACAAACACACACACACACACACACACACACGGTACCTGTCCTCAATCAAGGGCTAGAAAAGAGGGAAAGAGGGACACCACATTGGCATCTGGTCACCCTGACCTGTGCAGGAATGGCAGTGGCAGGCCCCCGTCCCCAGGTGTACATTTTCCATATCTTCCAGAGAACCAGGCAGGCTTAGGCTTCTCTGGCAGGTGAGAAAATGAAGCCTAGCAACTTGCTCAAGGCTACTCACACAGTAAGCATAAGGGCAGATATAGATGTTCTAACTCCATTGGTGGGGAGGTCATGGGCATGGCTGGCCCCCACAGGCCACTCCTTCCTGGAGCACACCTTCATATTAGATCACCTGACTACTGGACAGAGTCCACATGGGGCTGAATGTTTGCTTTTTACTGACGGAAGCTGGCTGCAGTGTGGTCAAATGCACCCCCCTGCACTAATCTGTGGGGTGTTAGCCCTATGGCAGGCAATGCTGCCTTCAGAGGTGACAAGCAATGGGAGCAGGCAAGACTCATATGACTCCATGGATGGGTACAACCAGGCATGCTCTGCAAATTCAGCAACCAGCTAAAGGGTCTGCTTCCTCCCGGGCCTAAGACAGACTCAGGGTTAGTCTGGCTGCCTCCCAAGAAGGGAGCACCAGGGATGGGAGCAAGTGTTTCCCAGGATCAGTGCCAGCTAACAACTCTTGACCCAGAGCTGTGGCAAGAGAATGAGTTACTGATGAGCCTGAAGGGTTGTGGTCATAAACACATGGCTTGAGAGGCAGCACAACCTGAGAGGCCTCAGAGAAGCACTGGGGGCCTGGTTACAGCAGAGTCCAGGAAGGAGGCCCAGGAGCAAAGGCTGGAGGAGGCTGGGCTGAGGACCAGGATGGCAGATGCTGGTCCTGCCAAATGAAACCAGAGTCTCAGCTTCTTGGTGAGAAATACAGCAGTCACAGGACAACCCCAGGCATGTTGGGGAAGGGGAGAAAACAGGGGTTTCCTCTTGACAGGAAAACCAAAGACAAGAAACAAAGAAACACAGACACACTAATTTTAACTATCAGGGAGATAAGAGTATCAAGCAAGGGACACATATGTGCACAGCCCAGACAGAGCAGCATCCTCAGTCCAGTCCACTTTGTGCGCTCAAAATGCTCATAGCTCACACACACAGCCCATGGCTGGCTCGCCACATATTACCATAACATTTATGCAACTATTTTCCCCACCAAGCCCATTCCTAAAATCTGTGGGGCCCAGGGCCAGAATATAAATCTCCTTATACAAATATTTGAAAGCTATAAGATATGCAAACTGTTACATACGATGTTATATCCACTTACCTTGATAAATATACCTTTATAAGAACAAAACAAAAATTATGTGTGGAATTCTGACTCCTACATAACTAAAAATTGGCAAGAAAGCAAAGATAACTAAATTGAATTGTCATTATGCATTTTTGGGCTGCTAATGACTAGATGAGTAATAAAAATATGTAATCCACACATTATTTATTCCACAAATTTTATTTTTCTTGCCTTCTTCAGAAAAATCATTGTGTTAATGTAATAAATATTTCCATACAATGGTGTTCTTGACAGTGCCAAATAAAAACAATTGTGTATCCACTGTAATTATGAATAGGACTCCTTAAGTTTTAGATTCAGAATTGAATCATGAATATTAATATCATGTTTAAACATTACTAGGAAGGTACATATGAAAAATTATGAAAGAAAACATTACATTTGAAACATTACATTACATATGAAAAAATATGACAGAAAACATTACATTTCTCTATCATTATCTAGTGTTACTGTTATTTCCCAATTAGTACTTTTTCTTGGAACAACAGGACTTCTTTAAGTTCTTCTTCTTTTACATTTTTCAATGCCTTCATTTTAAAAACCTAAAAATTAAAGTGGGTCACTTGTCATTTTGCTCAAATCTTTCTTCAATAGAAGCTATATCTTGAGCTATAGTGACCAGAAAACAGTCTCTACAAAAATTAGATTCAGGATTATGCATAAATGTTTCCTGGTTCTAATTTCCCTACATTCTACCTGAATGTCATTTTAATGATTATTTCATATGCAGTCTATTTTCTGAAACCACTTTTGTCCAAAACTTTATGGAATATTTTCAATGATTTTGGATTTTTGGTAAGCTTTTTCTAATCACTGAACAATTTTTTAAAATTAACCCTTGGTTGTGCTAAAAGACCACAATTTGCTCTTAGTATTTCAATTAACTCTTACACTGCATGCAAACTGGTTTAAAATAAGTCTGCTGTAGCATTCATGGGATTACCACAGTGTACCTCATAGGTTAAATCTGACATGCTTCATCTAGTTCATTGGGCAGATCTGGAAAACAAAAACAATCTATGAATCTAGTATATTATCTTTAAAGGGACTGGAAGAATATCATTGCTGTAAGCATAGCTGATGTCTACTAGTGAGGAAATAAAATGCTTGCTAACTCTTGCCCAGGTCCGAGTGGTTCTAGTCCTAGGTATTATTGCTAAATCCTCCTATTGATACTGCCAGTTACCTGCTTCTTCATATGTTGAAGCATAATATTAGAGAAGCACGCTGTGGCAAGCATGTAAAACAGGGTTTGTTTAAAAAGGGGTAACATAGACTTCTCCCCAGAGGGAGAAGGGGGCCATAGCTGGTATCCTAGTATCCCAAGAAGTGAAGGTGTTCTGCCTTTTTGTATAGCCTAGGCTTCTTTTGTTCTCCTGCTCTCTTTCCCCTTATCTCTCTCCTTTCTTGTGCATGACCAGGTCCAGGAGATGCTCTTGGGATGGCCAGAAGGTGGGAGACAGGCCAGCTGGAGGGGCCAGGGAAGAGTGTTCTGGGCAGGAAGGGGGCCCAGGGTGAATTAATTAGCAACTTTTACAACTCCCTGTAGGGAGGGACAATTCCTGGGGCAGCTTACCTTAGCAACAGGTGGGAGCAGGGGCAGGTTCTTGATAAAGGTGGAGGAAGGGCTCTGAAGGAATTAATATTTCAATCTCTCCATTCTCTGGATTTGACCCTTGCCTATCTGCCTAATTCTGGCTTCACTATAATTCTCAATTCCCCAAAGGAATGAGTCCCAGGCACCAGTCCCATTTAACTGGCAACTTTAAATGTAGAGTGACAAATGTAGGGTAAATTCTGGTCTCCGAGGTACAGCTGCAGCCCCATAGGCAATGAGTGAATATGTCGCACAGAGCCTGGGGAACTGGTCCAGAGACCCCACTAACTATGCAGGATGTCGAAGAAGACTGCGGCCTGGTGAAACAGAACAGTGAGACCTGCCGCTGCAGCAGGTCATCTCTCCCACAGAACAAAACCCCAAATCACCGGGGAAGAGGCGTCGCGAATCCTGTTCTCCCGCAAAGCTCAGGTGAAGCCCCACGGCGTTTAGGGAGAGGCCAGGAGTGGAGTCCACAAGCCACGTTCAGCCTGCTGGCTTCAGAATTCGCGCCTGTAACTCCGCAGACTGGTGCTTCCCATTAACGGGGTCCAGGAGTGGGGCGGGCATTTCAGGGCCAAATAACAGCGGGCTGAAAGGGGCGCGAGGCGCAGACCACCAGAGCCGTCGCCGGCCACTGGGAGGCCACACACGCCGGGGCTCCTGCTGACCCAGCCCGAGCGGGGCGACAGGACGCAGCCAGCTAACAAGGTCCGGCGACCCTGACCTGCGAAGCCCCGGGGGCCGGGCGCCTCGGGGAGGTGCGAACGGCAGGCAGAGCCCGCGAGTTCGGCCGGGAGCAGCCGCGTCACAGGTTCCACTACGGAACCGGAAGGACGCGACGGAAGCGGAAGCGGAGCCGGGCCGCGCAGGCGCCGTGGGGCCAGGGTCGCGGCGGCGGGCCGCGGTGAGTTCCTGTGCGGCGGCCAGCGTGTGGTGGCCGGCCTGGCGCTCTCTAGGCGCCTGCAGCTCGTGGGCTCCTGCCTTGGCCGGTCCCGGCTGTCTTCCGGCTGTGAGCGGAGGTGGGCGGCACGGCCGTCGGGCACCGGGACGGGGATGGGGGACGCTGAAGGGTCGCGCGCGCCTAGGGCGGGGCCGGCGGTGCGGAGCCCTGCTGATCCCGAGAGCTGGCTGGGAGGCGGGCGGTGACTGGGCTGAGGCCACGCCGTCCCGGGACTGTCACCTGCCGTTTACCTGCTACAAGGGCACCGCGCCCAGCAGCCTCAGTGGGGGTCTAGGTCGCACCAGTTAAGATGCAAAGTGGAATTAGGTTCGCTCGCATCCAGGATTTTCACAAGTCACCCGAGGTCTGCATCGGGGCTGGCCAACAACAGAGCTCCTACTGCTGGGCGCACTGCACATCCCTTGAGTCGGTGGGGGGGAGGTCACAGCAGGGAGCCAAGGGGCTGACTCCTAAGGTTGTGCAAGAACTTTGAAAGACAACTAGAAATTCTGTTAGCAAAATGGTCAGATAAAGCTGAATGATCTACCAGTCATAAGTTTTCTTGAACCCATCAGACAGCAGGCATCACAGAGGGATCTCTTATCCTATCTTGAATGACAGAGCTTCCTAGGCCCAACAGACCATGGGAGAGCTTGCCATCCAAGCTGGTAAGTAGTCAGCTAAGTTTTAATGAAATGCTGAATACCAGCTGTTTTAGTCAGCTCTTTCACTGCTCTGACCAAAAAATGTGACAAGAACAATTAGAGGAGGATAAGCTTACTTGGGGCTCACAGTATCAGAGTTCTCAGTCCACAGACAGCCAGCTCCATCCATCATGGCAGAAGGCTGTGGCTGGGGATCAGGACACGACAATCAGGAAGTAGACTCCCCTCACCAGGGACAAAATATATACCCCAAAGACATGCCCTCCACCTCCAGCCACACCCCACCCATCTACATTACCAACCAGTTTATCAGTTTTAATGCACCAATTAGGTTAAGGCTCTCTTAATCAGTCATTTCACCTTTAAACTTTTTTTTGGGGGGGGCAGCTTCTGGAGATTGAATTCAGGGGCACTCAACCACTGAGCCACATCCCCAACCCTATTTTGTATTTTTTATTTACAGACAGGGTCTCACTGAGTTGCTTAGCACCTTGATTTTGCTGATGCTGGCTTTGAACTCTCAATTCTCCTGTCTCAGCCTCCCAAGCCACTGGGATTACAGGCATGTGCCATTGCTACCAGCTAAACTTTCTTGCATGCGCTTTTGAGAGACACCTCATATCCAAACCATAACACCAGCTATACCAAGTGTGGACTAGGGTTGGTGTATAGAGCCCCTGGGAGCCACAGAAACAAAGAGAGTTTACAGCCACTCCGGACTCTTCACCAGCATGCACTGTGCTGTGGAAAAGATCCAGGGCAGGGGCAAAAATGCTTTCTTAGTGGTGCAGACTTGGAGGAAGAGGTGGCTGCTGCTCCAGCTGTACCCTGTGACTATCATTTGAAGTCTCATATACTTGGGGAAGGGGCGGGATTCATGACACATCCACACATCCAGGGTCACAAGGCCTAGGCCTGACAGTAAAGGAAAGATAGAACTACTACTGTGCAGATGACAGTGAGTAGCATGCAGTTGTACCTGCAGCCTGAAGTGATGGTGGAGCAGATGTTGAGAACATTCTGGACAAATAAATCTCACACCCGAGCAAGGTATTGCTGGGGAAATATGAAGCCTGGCATACTCGAAGGATAATAATAGCAACTACAAAACCCAGACCTGTGTCAGCTGTTAACTAGAATGATTCAATACCCAGTACTACACAGGCTCAGCAGAAATAGGCCTGTTTTCAGGCGTAAGTACTGCTTACCTCCATTACCAAACAGTGTCAAGCTTTCAACCAGAATAGCAAAACAAAAGGCCCCACTGCTAAGGATCAAACAATCAATAGAACCAGAAGCAGATATGGCTCAGATGTTAGAACTGTCAAGATGCAGTTTAAGCATGATTAATATATTAAGAGCTTTAGTGAAAAAGGTAGACAGTATGCATATACAGATGGGAGTTTCAGCAGAGAAGGGAGCAGAAAGAGCTGATGGAAATGCTAGCAAGAAATAGCAGGGGCACAGAATGCCTTCAAAGGGTACAGCAGTTGACTTGCTATAGGTAAGCAGGGAAAATCAATGAACTTGAAGATAGGTCAATAGAGATTGCCCAAACTGAAATACAAGAAGAGAATGGAAAACCCAAAGTAGAGCATCCAAGAACTGTGGGCCAGTATCAACTGGCATTAACATTTGCAGTAGCAATTTCAGCAGAAAAGAGAAATGGAGCAGAAGAAATATTTGTATTTTTCAGAACTAATGAAAGATACCAACCACAGATTGAAGAATTTGCTTACAGCAGCATCATCAGGATAAGTAACTTCAAAACAAAAGAACAATCCTGGAAATTGCTGAAAGCCAAAGATCAAATCTTCAGAGTAGCCAGAAAGAAATTCTGTAGAGATGAGGGGAAAGTCTTGCAGGTGGAAGGAACAGTAGGAGTGAAGGTGAGGAAGTGAGATTTTGCAGGATAAGTAATTAGCCCCTAGAACTAGCTGCCTGTGGAAAAAGGTCATATCCAACTAAACAGCCTTATATTCCTAAGAAGGGAGCTCACTCCAGCCAGTTGGGAGCCACTTAGGGCTTCCTCTCCCAGCATAATGTGTAGCTTTGGGTTTTTAATAATCCTCTTGAATTTTATCATGATTTTCCTGTATCTATTGATATGACCATATTATTTTCTTCCCTCTGTTAGTGGCATGAATTGTACACATTGGTTTTTGAATGTCAAACCAACCTTGCATTCCTGGGACAAATCTGCTGTCACAATCCATTAGACCTTTGAATTCAACTTGCTAATATTTTGTTTACTTGTGTTGATGTCCATGAGGATGCCAGTCTGTATTTATGTGATAAAAGCTTTGTCTAGTTTGCGGTGTCATGGTAACACTAGCAGTTTGGTGTTTACAAACTATTGGTATCACAAAACCCCAGGAAGTGTTCCTTCTGCCTGCAATGCTAGAAGAGTTCACATAGGATTAATGCTACTTCTTCACATGCTTGACGGAATTAGACAGTAAAGCCAGCTAGACATGACATTTTGAAAAATGTATTTTTGTTTGTTTCGTTTTTGGAGAAATTCTTAATTATAAATTTCATTTTCTTAGTAAAAATAGGACTTGTAGGTTCCCAGTATCTTCTGAGTCACTTTCGATAATTGGTGTATTTTCTGTTTTATTTTTTAATTTATTTGTTGGTCCTGGAGATTGAACCCAGGGACTTTTTTCCTTTTAATATTTTTAAATATTTATTTTTTAGTTGTAGTTGGACACAATAGCTTTATTTATTTATTTTATGTGGTGCTGAGGATTGAACCCAGGGCCTCACATGTGCTAAGCGAGCGCTCTACCACTGAGCCACAACCCCAGCCCTGCCCTTTTTATTTTTGAGACAGAATCTCACCCACGCAGGCCTTGAACATGCATCCTCCTGCTTCAGCCTCCTGAGTCTTGGGATTACAGATGTGCATCACTGTGACTGGCTGATGATTGGCTGATAAATGGTAAAAATTTTTGGTTAAAAGTAATACACGATGTTCCTTTATTATCTGTAAAGTGTTTCTAGTCCTAATGATGCTGCCTCTTTCATTCCTGAGAATAATAATTTATGTCTTCTTCAACTTTTCTTGATCAATCTAATTAGAGGCTATCAATTTTATTTAACTTTTGGAATAAGCAGTTTGGCTTTATTGAGTCTTTTTCTGTTGGCCTTTACCCCATTTCTTTGACTTCTGTTTCTTTTTTTATTATTATTTTCTTCTTTTCTACATGGGTGTTATTTGCTTTCCCCTCCTAGCTTCTTAAGAAATCATCACTATAGGATTGAGTCTAAATATTCTTTTCTAATGTAAACATGCAAAGTCATGAAATTCCTTCCTAAAAACCATGTAAGCTGCATTCTGCACATTTTGGTGTGTTGTATTTTAGTTTTCATATAGTTAAAAATATTTTATAATTTGTCTTGTGATTTCTCCTTTGGACTATGGCTTTTTAAGAAGTATATTGCTGAATTTCTAAGTATTTAGGGAATTTCCAGGTACCTTTCTGTGATTGATTTTTAATGTAGTTGTTTCATAGTTGGTGTACATACGTGACAATTCTCATCTTTCAGAGCTTGAGGCTGGTGTCACAGCCCAGCAGTCCATCTCGAGCACACTCAAACATCACATGCAATTGTGAGCAGGTCTTGGGCTTGCTCTGAGCTTGGGATTCCTTGTCTGTAAGGGAGGCATGCATTTTATAGGTAAAAAATATGCACCAGACCATTGAGGCTCTGAGATGGGGGTTTGTGGTTCTGAAGGTGTGTTAGCTTTCTTGCTGCTGTGACTGAAGGACCTGACCAGCACAATTGTAGAGGAGAAAAGGTTAATTTGAGGGCTCACAGTTTCAGAGGTCTTAGTCCATAGAAGGCAGGCTCAAATCTTGAGGCTCAAGATGAGGCTGAACATCATGGCAGAAGAGTGTGGCAGAGGAAAGCAGCTCACATCACGAGGAAGCAGAGAGAGAGACTCCACTCACTAGATAGAAATGTACACCCCAAAGCCATGCCCCAGTTCCCACTCCTCCAGCCACACCTACCACTTCAGTTAATGCCATCAGGGATTAATTGACTGATAAGGTTAAGGCTATGCCCCAATCATTTCTCCTCCAAGCCTTCTTGCATTGTTTTATACATGAGCTTTTGGGGGAAAACACATCCAAACTATAATAGAAAGTGACATGCCCTGTCTTTTCATCTTGCAGATGGCATCTGAGGCAGAGTGCTGTCCTTTGGGTGTGTTCAAGTGCCAGCTCTGTTCTGTGACAGCTCCATACAGCTATGTGGGGCAGAAGCCCCCCAACACCCAGGCTGTTGTGTGAGTACATGTTTTGGGAGCCAGTGCCCGGGGTGGTTTGGCAGATGCTGGGCCTGAGTCTGACACCTGGCTTGGGTGTTGTGCCTCAGGCCTGTTCCTGCCCAGGCTTTGGGTGTTTCAGGTATGACCGGTAGAGGCCCAGGCAGGACTTAAGGGCTTCTCGGATGTCCAGCCCCCAGGCTTTTCCTCCTAGCACAGCCCAGGGTTCAAGGACTGTTCCAGCCACCGGGTAGAATCTGTGGCTACACTGAAACATCCCAGCAGTGGGCAACAGAAGCCATGGTGGCCTCATCATTTGGGGCTATGCCCTGTTGTCTGGTGCTACTTCCTGGGAGGGACACCGTCTTCCTTGCTGTCCCGGTAGACGTGAGTGCTGAGGACCACCTCTTGTGGGTCTGCCCACAGCAACCAAGAGTGGACCTGGTCTAGCACTTGCTTTTGACCTTTCCATATCTCAAATCAGAGGCATGGGGGAAGCCGACCATGGCCCAGTGGCAGGGGCACCAGGCTCCTTTCTTCTAGCTTTGGTTCTTCTGCTGACCAGGAATTGTGTCACCATGTAACCCTGCTGGTGTGAGAGCTGGCAGCTTGGGGGAGCCTTGTGCCCACACCCAGTGGTGAGACTGGGGTTGGGGCACACTGGGACAGCCCCCCTTCTTGTTACTAAAAAGGACTTCTCTCTACACGGATGGCTGGTGTAGACCAAGACTGGTTCAGGTCTCAGTTCTCTCCTGGCCTGCAGTGGCTTGGCCATTCTGTCACTACCCTGTGGCAGAGGTGGACACTCCCTCCTCTGCTGAGCCTAGGCAGGGGTGCAGGTCCCAGCAGGTCCCCTATTGCACAGCCAGTGCTGTGGCTCACAGCCTGGTGTCCACTGGCTTAGGTTGGGCTTGTTTCCTGCAGCCTGCTGGAAGAGAGCTACGTCATGAAGGACCCCTTCACTTCAGGCACAGACAGATTCCTGGTCCTTGGGTCCCGGTGCAGCTTATGCAGCAGGCTGGTGTGTGTGGGTCCGGTGGGTAAGCTGCAGGGCCAGGACTGCCTGTCCTCACTGTGGGGATCTGGGGGCCCGCCCGGCACAGGTGGAGCCAGGGAAGCCTTTGTCGGAGGGCAGGTGAGGGTCAGGTAGAGTGTCTTGGCCTGGACAAGGAGTAGAACTAGATCCTTGCACTGTGGTACTGGCATGTGGCCAGTGTGACCAGAGAAGTCCTGGAGGCTGAGAAGTCCATGAGCATCTGCCACAGATCAAAGCACATAAGAGGGAAGAGACACAGACTGCACCAGCCCACCAGCCCACCCCTCAAGGTCGGCTGATGAGGGTGTGGCCGAGCCTTACACAGGCAGGGGTCAGGAGAGGTGGTGGAGGGTGAGGCACAGGAGAGCAGGTGAGCAGAAGGGAGGTAGCCCACACGGGTATCTCCATGGCAAAGGACTGCTTCCAAGAACTTAGGCAATTTGATTAGTAGTTGAGGCATATGCCATGGTGCTAAGGGGCTGGAGAGAGACCCCCAAAATAGGGTGGTCCAACAAGAGATAGTTATTTACTCATTTTCTTATATATGAGTCTATGCCAGGCAGTCCTTGCTGGGTGGACTGTGCTGCTATCATCAACATACAACATCCACTTGGGTCCACTGTGGATCTTGCAGCTTCTACCATCACCCAGCTAGCAAGAATGGACAAGGGAGCATATGTCCCTTCCTTTGGAGGGCATGATCAGGAGGTAGCATACTCATGATGACACCCCGACCATACTCGCCCCATGGCCATACCCAGTTGCAAAGCGGGCTGGGAAGTGCCCTGAGCTGGGTGCAAGGGGGAATCTCAGCAGTTATAGTATTGAGGGTCATGAAGGAGAGTGGACGTGGCTGGGAAGGTCTGGCCTCCTGCCCAGACCAGTCACTTATTGGTGGCTTCTCAGGTCTGTGGGGCTGTCCCTCTCATCCCCTGCTGCTCCTGACACAGGCACTTGCCAAGGCCCTGACCCGCTGAGATAACCAAGCGAGGACACAGGACTCCAGTCCGAGGTGGGCTTTACTTCTGATGGAGCAGGGCAGGCCTGGCATCTGTCCCCCCGTACCCCCTGCCTCCTAGATGCCTTGCCAGACCCTTAGCTCTTGCTGCTCTGGCTGTGGCCCCCGCCCTCCCTGTGCCTGTGGGGGGCCGCTGGCAGCTCTGGAGGAGCAGCAGTGTCCAGGCCACTCACTGCCCCCTCCCCTGCCCCAGGAATGCAGCTTGTTCTACAGCAGGAGGTTCTGCCTCCCTTGTGTCCAGGACAACATCAGCGCCTTCCCTCGGGAAATCCAGCAAGATGTGGAGAAAAGGAAAGGTCCTAAGCGGCCCTCCAGCCAGCCCTGTCCTTGAATGTGAGTGCAGTCTGTGCCAAGTGGGCAGCAGCCTCCTGCGCAGAGCTCCTGGCCTGGCAGGGACCAGGATCTGCAGCCCAAGAGAGTGGAGGAGCCATGCCAGGAGGTGGAGCAGACAGCCTGTGGGTCCAGCCTAGTGCTGTGGAGCTGCCCCCAGGGCTGAGGATTCTGAGTGAGAGGGAGACTCCCTTCACTGGGCAGCTCTGGTAGCCCGGGAGGCGCACACATGAGGCCTGGAACATGGTGGAGGACCACACTGCCATCTGTGCACAAGGAAGTCACTCTCCGAGGCTGTCTTCATGCACAGCAGCAGGTCTGGGGGACAGGATTTTTTCTTTACATCCTTATGTAAGCTTGGAAATGTCCTGCATCTTGACCACTCACTGCCCATTACCGACATGACTGAGAACCTGAAGAGCCCACCAATGCTCTGAAAAGAAATTCTTCCACAAGACACTTGGAGACTGGATGTCCTCACAGGTACTCTGGGATGGCAGTCAGTGTGAAGATGTTTTTTGTGGACACTTTGGGCAAGACATCATGGACAAGCAGTGGAGGGGGTGTCGGGAAGCCAAGTGTCGGCTTTCCATCTGCTCAGGCTGCCTCCAGCCCGGGCCCCACTGCACGTTCTGCCCTGCACTCTCAGGTCAGGAACACTGGCTTCCTTCCCTTACGCCACCCCCTCGCCACCCTGCACTCAGCCCTCTAGTCCCACAGCCTCCCAGAGGTCCCCATGTCTGCTTAGAGTCTCAGAGGCAGGAACTGCTGCCTTATTCTGTGACCACGGCAAGGCCGACCATCAAGTTGGGTGAGATATAAAGATCTTTGACTGATGTGTACACTGGATTTTATTTAAGAGCTTCCTAGGGGCCGGAATTGTGGCTCGAGTGAGAGCGCTTGCCTTGCACTTGTAAGGCACTGGGTTCGATCCTCGGCACCACATAAAAATAAAGATATTTTTTAAAAAAAGCTTCCTGTTTCGTGTACTTCAGATTCATGGATGTCATGTTCTGGGGCCACATTGTCCTAGATCCATTCTGTCCTGCAAGGCAGAGGGTGACCCTGTGGTGACGGCGAGCTCCAGCAAGGGCAGGCCCAGAGCAGACCCAGCTGGGCTCGGTCTGTACAGAGCAGCTCTAATCACAGCATCATTCAGGACTCACTGGGTAATCTTAAAAAATAGTTTATTTTTTAAAACCATTAAGGCAAAACTGTGCCCTGAAATTAACCTTTTACATTCACCAGTCTTACAGTAGGACATTCCAAACCTAAGTTCCCATGAATTCAGGAAACAGATCAACGAGTGTGGTCAGTTCACTCTCCTAAGAGGAAAGTGAAGACCCAAGATCTAAAAAAATCAAGGTCATGCTATAGCCATTTCCAAATCACCTGGAACCAATCGGTTACCATGACTAGAAAAATGACACCTGCTTTCCTGCGCACACCCTGGATTCCTGAGGTCCTGGATGTCCCCATACCTGGGGAGGACCCTGGAGCCAGCTTGATGATTCCAACTTGAAACTGCTGCATTTACTAGAGCCAGGAGAGGGCTCTGAGTCCGAGCACTGTGAGGGCGAGAGGCACATAGGAGCGGTAACCGTGACTGGCAAACCCTCTCCCCGGGGCTTTAGCACAAGAGCACGGTGGATCCCTGTGGGTGTCAAAAATATACACCACAAAGAAATTTGGCCAAGAAACTGAAAATGAAGTGTGGGAGGCTCCTAAGCTCTGTGCTTCTGGTTGGGCCATCGAAGGCCACCATAGAACCTGCAGGTGCAAACAACAGAGTGTTCCAGATGGCTAGAGCTCTTTGGTAGTAATCCATAGGTGGTGACCTGAAGAGCAGGAGCTGTTTACCAAGCAGGAATACGTAATGGTCCAATCAGAACACTAGTACAAAGTGACCTGCAACCTGGGGTCTGTGGAGGCTTTGCTGGTAGAAATGCATAAAGACAGACTTGCACTTCTGCATGTAGGGGATGCTGAAGGGGGATCTACACACTGAGATAAAGCCTGCATGGCTCAGAAGAGAAAAACTGGTGTGCGTGTGTGCATGTGCAATTCGATTGTTTTGTCTCAGCTTCATTTTCAGTAGGTTCACGAGTCAGTCTTTTAAGCATGTACATCACAAACCAAATGTTTGCTGTTAGATGTATGATTGCAAGTTAGCTGTTTGTATTTTTTTTTTTTTAAATTGAAAAAAAAATAATTGAACCCAGGGGTGCTTAACCACTGAGCCTCATCCCCAGCCTTTTTAAAAAATACTTTCTTTGGAGACAGGGTCTCCCTGAGTTGCTTGGGGCCTCGCCAAGTTGCGAAAGCTGGCTTTGAACTTGTGATCCTCCAGCCTCAGCCTCCCAAGCCTCTGGGATTATAGGTGTGTGCCATCACGCTGGCTATATTGGGATTTTTTTGAAAACTCAAGTCACAGTATTTAAGATACAGCTATTGATGTGATTCTTTTTACCATATAGTGTTGATAAGGTAGTGGCATTCAACATGAGTAATACTGTAACCTTACCAAGAAGGGCATTACGTGGTGTTCACTTATTGTGAGGTATATTTCATTTTAGGCCTGGAAAAGGAACTGACTGTGTCTTTAACGAATGAAGTTTCCAAAAGTGATGGACTCTCCAGAAGGCCAGCCACTGGGCGATCTCCAGGGCCAGAGCCCATCCTCGCTGACTAAAGGCAGAGGCGAGGCCCCAGGGGTTTGGGGAAGTGGAGAGAGGGTCCCTTGCAGTTTGGGACACGGCAGCTCACACACCCCTGCCGCTGGCCTCACAGCTTGTCCTAGGCAGCATCACGGTGGTGCCAGGGCTGGCTTGTGCCTGGTGTCCGTGGTGCCGTGTCAGTTCATCAGATTCAGGGACTTGTGATGGCGGGGAAGACAGTGAGAGCAGGAGGCTGGCCTCTCTTCTCAAGAAAAAACCTTGGAGGTTTTCACTGGCAACTTTAAAACAAAACAGAACGTCACAGATCTCACTGCCCTGTCTGTGAAGTAAAAATAGACGTTCCTTGTTTCTCTTTGCCTTCAACAGCTGCAGGGCCATTAATTGCTGGTCGTGGTCAGGTGCCCTGATCCCACTGCGACGTGGATGGACACCACTGGGTCTTTCTCGCTGGCTGAGAACTCGGAGAGGGTCTGGCAACGTGTATCTCAGTGGGACCACGGGAGTGGGGGGTTGGGGGGTAGCGCGGCTTCCCTCCCAGGAGGGGCTCTCTGGGGAGAAAGGAACCCATTAGGTTTCCCTTGTCTCAGACTGAGACTCTGAGAAGCAAGTGGGCGGCTAACAGGAGACTCCAGCTCTGAGAGGCCTCAGGGGTCCTGGGGCTACCCGCAAGGGGACAGCAGCCTCTCCCTGCCCTCTCAGGAGGGGCCACACACCACCTTTTTCTGATGAGCCTGCAGCTCTGCTGAAGTAAAGTTTGAGAACTTGCTGCAGCCCACTGAGGTGCCCCAGGGACAGCACTGTGTGTCATTAAGCCAGAGCATGCATAAGGCTCCGTATCTGTTTTCAAACAAAATTTCCAATTTCACATTTCAGTGTGACTTTAAAGAAATAAAATGGCCTCCTACATTCATAGCCAGACCAAATCTATTGCTCTAATTCCTACCCTAGTCCACAGGCGGGGTGGGGGGGGCGGCAATGAATTTTCCTGAATTCTATTAAAATGGCACCTAATTATGTGTGTGTATGTGTGTGTGTCCCAGAAAAAGCCTAGACACCAACCTTTGAGCTCTGATATTTCTAGATAGAAGGTCTTGGAGGAGTACATGACTTGGAGGAAGGCCAGGTGATGAGTCAGTGATGTACAAGATCCCTTGGTAAGAGGTCCCTGGCTGTCACCAGCACAGGGAGGCAGATGCAGACCTATCTGTCACCACCCTTTGTTTGCTGCTCAAAGCCGAGCTGCCTTAGGGCTTTCTCTGTAATATCTGTGGACGTGATGTCTGAAGATGGGCTAGGCTGTCAGCTCCCACTGTCCCTGTCCCTGGGAAGGTATGCAAGTCCCCTGTGATGACGACTCATTGGTCAGAAGTGTGCCTGTGCAGCTGCCCAGATCCTAGTGCTACTTGTAAAGTGACAAGCATAAAGACAACCCCCCCCCACACACACACACATGGCAGTGCCAGCATCACACTGAAACAAGTGTCCTGGGACCTTTTCATAATCAGCTCAGTGGCATCAAGTTGACTTGCAACTTCTAGAAAGTATGATGCCCTTGCCTATCTTGAGTCTACATCACATCCTTAACTTAGAGGAAGACTCATGAGGTAACTCCTCAGGGCACTGCCTCAAGTCCCCAGGCCATCGCAGTCGGCAGCTTCAGCCGTAAGAACAAGGGCTGAACAAAGGCAACCTCCCAGGTCCTGGAGACTCAGGGGACTCTAGCTAGCTTGTTGTCCCTGGTAAGATGGAGGAGGCGGGGAAGGTGGACAGGTACCACACCCTTCCTCCCCAGTCTGGATGTTTCCATTTAAAATGGAGGCAGATTCTGCATCTGCCCCCTCCAGGGGCTGCAGAGGGAGGAGGTCACGGGAGCCCGCCCTGCAGGCTCGGTGCTGAGCATGTTGAGAGGACATGGGTTGAAGAAGTCCTTCGAAGGGGCCAGAGGTCCTCTGACAAGATGTCACTCTCAGCTGGAAGCATAGACTTTCCGGTTGAAACAACGGGTCCATCTTTAAACCAGATTCAACAAAAACACCTGTGGCCACTGGGCCAGGACAAAAATTCCCCTCCATTATGTATTGGCTGCTAAGTAGCAAATACGCCCCATCTCACAGTAGGTTGAGAAGGGGCTTACAATGGGAACCGCTTGGAGTCAGACAGAGGAATGCAGAAGCAAGTGACAGCAGAGGGAGGTGTCTGTCAGGGTCTCTCCTACAGAAGGGCCTGTGTGTGGTCAGCAGGAGGGAGGGCTCCTGCAGCAGGGCCGCCGAGTCTTGCTCAGTCTTAGCTTCTCTAGGTGTGCGCAGTAACTGTTGCACATGGACCTCTTTAAGACTTCCGTTAAACAACAAAACTGCCTTTAGAAAGTCACATGGCCTGCCATCTCCTTGTGTGCGACAGTCAGAGGTGTGTGAGCCATCAAGGAACCCTGACAGCACCGACTGGTATAGAGATGCCGGAAAGGCCAAGGCTTCTGCCGGCCTTAGCTCCAGCAGTGGGGCTGGGCACACTATTGAGGTAGCTGCTCCATGAACAGGAGGCGTTTGCCAACTGAGTCGTTCACTTGTCTCTTCTGTCAAACATTTTCCTAGTGCCTTGGGGTTCTAGGCCTCTCTGGGGATGCTGCATTGTCCCTGGACCCTCCACATGATACCAGAGGTGATCCATTCCTTTAGGGTCTTAAATGGCCCAGTGTTAAGAAGGGCCTGAGCACCAGCAGAAAGGTATCTTCATAGCTCTTAAGAAGAGGGACAGCTCTGGTGCATTCTTGAGTGTGCCAAGTCCTGGGTTTCTTTCTCACCCACTTCACACTGAATTTCATTTGTGTGGGCACACACTCTTTAGGAAGATGCTTTAAATTTATCAATGAACGGTGTGGAGGTCACGGGGAACAGGCAGCAAGGTGGGAAGAAAGGACCAGCTTAGCTTGCTGGCTGGCGCTCTGAGGATGGCACTGCTGTGAGTCCTGCTGGCATAACTGGAGCCTCTAATTGAGACGATCTGCACTCACCCCGTTGGCCTGGTGCCTCAGGTGCTCAGGTTTCCCAAGGATGGTAGGTACAAAATTCAGTGTGCCAGAAGCTCTGCTGGAACACCAGGAGGCAGGAGAACAGGGACTCACTGAGCAGAGAGGGTCACATCTGGCTGTGAGCCCCACAATCTCAGCTGCACCCCTGCTTGTGCCTTATTCTACTCAGCATCTGGGGCACAAGGGTCATGTGCAGTCTCTGGGAGTCTGACAGTTGTTACTGTTCAAAGGCAAGAAAATGAAGAACTAGGCAAGT